CCCGTGGACCGAATCACCACTGATTACCACTGTCTGATGTTACATGGGTTCCCCTTCCCTTCTGTTGCACTGGTTTGGGGGGCCCTGTGTGGAGCTGAAACCCTATGCTCCCAGGGGGCAGGAGCTATACTGCTGCACTTTCCCTCCCACTTCCCAGCCACACTGCACAGCTGCATGAGTTGGTTCATCCACTCTGCATCTTCTCCTGTCCCCTCTCTACTCTCCCCACTCACAGCATTTCAGTTCAGTTATTTTCATCTGGTTTTCCAAGTAGAACATTCTTCAGTTTAGCCACAAGTCTGGTCCAAGGCTGTGAGCAAGTGGAGGAAGCTTCCTTAGGCTGTAGCCATCTTGCCCTCCCTAGCCACCTGAGCAGCTTTTAATGCCCAGGTCCTTGTAGAAATGCTGATTCTAGTGCGGAAGCATCATTGTGGACAAAGTACTCAAAATAGAAAATGGAGATAGGTCAAATGGACACTGGATCCAACCTTTAAGAATCCCCAATGTCCAAAGCTGAAAAAATCTGAACAAAATAACATAATATTGTTATAATGCAACATATAAAGATCCATGAATGGATGCTGATATAAATGATTAAATAAGTGAAGGAAAAGCAAGTCTTCCAAAGAGAATTCCCAATAATATATGTAGATACTTCACTTCCTAGGAGGTAGAGCCTATTTCCCCTCTCCCACTTGAGTGTGGGCTGGACTGAGTGACTTGTTTCCAGAGTATGGAAAGGGAAAAATAGCTTTGCAATGAAGAGCTTGGAGAATGCTACCTTAGCCAGATGGTCAAACTCAGCATGCCTCATGTTGTCGTGTTGATAGTATGTACCCTTCAGGATGATGTAATGAGAATAGCACCTCACCTTTGTAGTAATCCTCCCCAAATCCCAATACCTGTCTACCATGAAGAAAACATCAGACAAACCCAAATTGAGGGACAACTTTCCAAAAAATACCTGACCGATTATTCTCATATTTGTCAAGATCATGAACAAGGAAAGACAGAAACTGTCACAGACCAGAGGAGTCTAAGGAGACATGATGATTAAATGCAATGAGCAATCATGGATTGAATTCTGGATAGGAAAAGGTCATTCATAGAAAAACAAGTGACCTCTGAATAAAGCCTTTAGTTCACAGTAATGTACCAATGTTAATGTCTTAGTTTTGACAAACGTACCAGTTACAAAAGATGTGAACATTAGGGGACTGAGTAATGGGTATGCTTACATGAACTCTCTGTATTATCTTTACAACTTTTCTACAAACTTAAAATTATTCCAAAATGTTTATTATAAAACAATAGATGTCTGAGCCTCACCTATAAGGTTCTAATTTTAATTTCTTGGTTAGTGAAGATGATGGTACTTGGGTACCATTATTTTCTAAGAGTTCCCCAGATGATGCTGATGTTCAGCCAGAGTAGAGAATCCTTACTCTATACTAGTGGCTCTCAAACTTGAACATGTATCAGAATCCTTTGTGGGGGGAAGGGATTGTTAAGACACAGATTGCTGGGTCCCACCCCCAGAGTTTTAAATTTGGTAGGTCTGGTGTGGAGCTTGGGAGTTTGCACCTCTTACAAGTTCTCAGGTGATGCTGATTTTGCTGGTGTGGGGTCCGCTTTTAACCACTGGTCTATACCAAACTCTTAAGGTGGTTTCTCCCAAACCACTGTGAAAAGTAGCAGCATGAGATAAAGCAGTGTGATACAGTGAAAAGAGCTCTAGTTTACAGCTCAAGAGACTTGGATTCTAGTCCTGAATCTGTTATCATTCAGTCATAGGACCTGTATGAAGCACTTCACCTCTTAGCCTGAAACTTCTCATATGCAAAATAAAGAGCCTGGTTTAATGACCACTAAATCAAGAAGTCTATACATCTTCCAAGTTTTAGATTACTATCTAGTTATCTCGGATTTGATAAACAATTTTGCAAAATCTAATTTAGACACCAATATGCCTAAAGCATGAGTGGAAGATTTTTCTCTAGAACACATTATGACTGAAGCAATGAAGACTTTTTAACCAATAAGCCAATATATCCAAATTTAAAACATCCTCATTTCATGTCATCACTATAGCCTAGTCCAGTGATGCTGTTATTGCCCAAAACATTTCTGTAACTCTTTAATATACATCATAGCCAATTTTTAGGCCACAAAAGAAAACCTGTCTTATTACATTTGAAAAATCACACCCCACTGACCAAATGTGATAATTTCTAGCTTTCTCACCCACATTAAGCACCAGACAGCCTCCAAATCACCCTTGGTTATTTCCAAAAATCACAATTTCCCTAAAAGGACAGTCTTTTTAGCCATTAGGGGTAAGAAAACTCATTTGAGAATTTGATAAAAGGGATGGCACCCTCCCCAGAAAAAGACATCAGCACACACACAAAAATTTGCCAACAATTTTAATCCCCAGACTACAACTTAGAAACTTCCCATCTAGGGAGATAAAGATTTACCACTACCAAGAAAATACAAATGTTCAGAGAAGATTCAGAGGAGTCATTTGAAGACTAGTCTGAAGGAAACAAATGCACAATAGGAAAAGCACTGGACTTGGGGTGTGAATACGGAAACTTAAGATCAGAATTCTGATTTGGCTATGTCACTAACCAGTTTAGGGCAAAGAAGTCACTTTCCTGTTAGAGTAAATTTCCTCATGTGCAAAATGGAGGCAGGGAAAAAAGGGGTTGCACCAATGCTTCTCTGTGTGTTCATTAAACCAGCAGCATCAGCAGCACCTAGGAGCTTGTTAAATATGCAAATTCTCAGACCCCATCCCAGACCAAATCTGGAAGTGAGGCCTGGCCATCTGTGTTTTAAAAGCCCTCTCCAGGGGATGCTGATGCACACTCAAATTTGAGAAACAAACAGCTAAATGACCTCCAAAGTCCCTTCAAGCTCCCAAACTGTACAATTTATTTGGAAAGGATAAACTTCAGTAAGGTAGAATATAAAACCAAAAGCAACAGTCCCAGTCACATCTGTTAAAAAAGATTTCTTACACTTAATTTCTAAGGGATAAAAGACTCTCTATTTTTCTTTATATCCCTCATAGTACCCTTTCAAAACTTATAACTACTAGGTATTCAAATCTTCACCATGTGGGCCAATTTTGACTTAAAAAAAAAAATTAGACCCAGAGGTAGGTGAGACAAAAAATACCTTGTTCAACTTTACCTTGTCCAAGGATAGTTCCATCCCTCCCTCCTGCCTGCTACCCAAATTATGCCATGGCTTTATTAACAAAGTAGTAAAGAAAACTACTGGAATTGTCTTAATCTAAAAGCAATAGATATCTCACTTTCAATGAAAATGTGCTCAAGACATACCATCACGACTTATCAAGCAATGTAATTATTCTTCCTTACTGCTAACAAAATACAGAAAGATTTCAAATGGTTATGGTTTTGATTCCAAGCCAAGTAAGTGCAACAGATACTTAATATAATGAATTACTTTCATTTATGGAGGTATGATGATGGTGCCATAGTTAAGTATAAAACAAGAGTGTCCTTATTTGTTTTTAAAATCTGATACTGAAATATATAAAAATGAAAAGTTACCTGGAGTTAGCTTTAGTATCACTGGGAGTTGAGATAAGGTGAGTGGGTGACAGGGTAAAAAAAAACACAAAACAGATTAGCCATGAGAGAAGAGCTGAAGTAGATATGGGTATGTGGGGATTCATTTTACCGTCCTACTTGAAAAGTTTTATAAGACCAAGCTGAAAGTATATAAATTCAGTTATCTGCTACTTTTAAAAGAAAAAATAGGCATATACTAGGATCCTGGCAATCAAATAAACTGGAATGTTAAAAATGTTTTCCCCATTACAAAGGGAAAACCATTTACCTAAATCTAGTATTTGTCAACCTGTTACTAAGAAACATGGATAATGTAATGCAAACATCCCACCATAAGATACAAACTGATATTGACAGGGTAGGGAATTGTCAGACCCAAGTAACAGTGACTCTATTAAGGCTCTTACATCACAAGAATAGAGAAACACTCTAGGGATGATTCTTAAATTGACACCTCTACTTATTTAATACAGCTTGTTGTCCTTCTCACACCAGTCACCTACAACAGTTAATTATGGGCAGCAGTTTCGAGCCACTGATTACTCTTCATTGGTAAAATGATAACAGTCTCTATATAAGCCATCAAATCTCTAGGATCAGTACTGCCCAACAGAACTTTCTTAGATAATGGAAATGTTCCGTATCCTGTGGTTTCAAATATAGTAGCCTCTCACTATATGTGGCTACTTGGCACTTGAAGTTTTGCTAACGGGACCAAAGAACTAAATTTTAAATTTTAATTTTAATTTATTTTAAATAGCCACATGTGGCTAGTAATTACCATAATGGACAGTACAGCTCTAAAATAAATAAATAAATAAAACAATAAATAAATAAAACACAAACACACGTTTTACTTAATATCTAACATTTATTAAAAACTGAAGATTACAGAAAAGCATGAGTAAGACTAGCTTTATTACACAAGCTTAATTAACTCACCTTAGACTAATAAATGAATTTAATATCACAAAAGGAATTTTGAGAATGAGGTTGATTTCAACCTCTAAAAAACAAAAGAAAAGCAGCTAAGACATTTTCTGAAGGAGCGAGCAACCAGACCCCCCTCTAGCGGCAAGAGATAAAGTTGCTGCTGAAAAGCTGAATTGCTTCTGTATCTACATATAAAACTGCTCACAGCCATTTCTTTTATATAATTACAACTTTAAAAGATTCTAGATCAGTATATAAGGAAAATAGATCTGATTTTTTGTAAACAAAAGTTAGACCTAATTTTCAATTGCTTTGAATTCTAATCTCTATAGAAATCTGATCTCTCCAGAAAAAAATGATTTGTCAATGAAATTTGAGAAATTGAGGCTTTTACAAAACAAAAGTTTATGGAGCCTTAATCAAACTGTGAGCAAAAAAAATGAGAGCAATTCTCACTTGATAAATTTTCTGGGATGGAACATGGAAAGGAGTGGATTCAGCAGCAATGGGGTTTGTAAAAACTCATGGTACATAAAAACACACACACACACACACAAAAAACGAATTAACATATTACAAGAGTACTTAATAAGCGAAACAACTCTTTTCATTCTGATATTCAGTTTCAAAAGACAGTTCTGTCACATTGCCAGTTTTAATTACAACCATACACACTCATTTAGATTTAACTACTGAACTACTACTTTCAAGTACAAGAAGGAACTCAAAATAGAAATGACTTGTGTTACACCTATTGTTTCCCCCTCACAGCTTCAGGAAAAACAGCTTTTATGTGCACTGTAGTAAGTACAGAATGTACAGAAGACAGTTATATACAAAAGTGCCTTAATATAATAATACATTTAGCAGAAATACAGGAAAAAATCCTGGTTAACAATCTGATACATTACAGCATTTAAGACTACTTGAAGATTCTCCAAACGAGTCAACTTCCTACTTGCTTTGGTTATGATACTGATGCTATAGAACTAACCCTTTGAAACCAAAAAAGGGAAATTTTTAACTATCTGTGAAATGTTTTACATGTATTTGTGTTTATCCTTAATAGCTTTTGACAACAGTCTTATTAAACCCCCAACCCAAAGATTTAGAATGGATAATGCCTATATCTAAATTAGAGTACTTAAAAAAGAAATTAAATTGATCCACTACAGGAACAGACCTGGTCTGCTCTATTCCTAAAAGCCTGAGCTAGATAACCTACCCCCAAAGTTTCAACTTAAATCCAATTGGTCAACTACCATTAAAGAGCAAGCAGCTCCACAAAACAAGCCATGGCTTCAGGCCACTGTTCCTTAGAACAATTCAGAATACGTAAATATTAACTTGTCATTTATACAGATTAAGTCTACAACTACCTTTATATAGTCAAAATGCCTATGTATAATTAGAGCAATTCTTCTCTTTTCCACTCCCATCCCTTACCACATAAAAGAACACATATTTCCATAGATTCCACTGACCAAAGATGCAACATCGAAACTTGACAACAAAGAAAACGTACTACATATTGAAATCTGAGATCAAACCAGTTTTGCTGAGTTCAATATGAATGTCAATTAAAAATTAATTATCATAATGTGAGCTAGGTTAAAACATTAATAACCTTAATTTAAAATATAACTGTGAGGGGGGCTGAAAATAATTTTAATATTAGAAAAATATGAAAATGAAATTTTAGTGAGTCAACTCAGATCTTCAGCTATACCATGCAACTTCCTTACTCTTAACACCCAGCTAGAGGAATCTGAGTTCCTTCTAAACCTTTTGGAATAAGTAAATTATTTTCCAAAGAATTAAGAATTAAGCACCCTAAGGAGCTATGTGCCAGATACTATCCTGACAGATGCCTACGTTTAACTATCTCTCAGATGCTTCTCACCCATTTATCATATTTTCATTATAAAGACAAAATGTATCTTACTTTGTCAGACTTAAAATGAATCCAAAATTACCACAGTACATGTATATACAAATACTTCTTTTTTAACTAACAGTCCCTTTAAGGATTAATTTACCTCTAAGTTTAGACATGCTGAATGTCAGTGTGCTCACCATCAATACTATTATTTGAATGAAACTGGAAATTTTCCTATCAACCCTCTCAAACTATAAACTGACTTTAAGTAACTCCCTTTCAATTCCAAGCAAACATTTTTCTTGGAGATAGGAGTGCTAAAAAGTAATTTGTTAAAGGGGAGAGGAGTGTTCCAGCTATTACACAAATGAATGCAAAGAATCCTTAAAGTTAACAAAAGAATCAACTTGCTATATAATCTCTGTTCTTGAAGTACTTTCGCATTAAAAATTATTACCTGGTTTTAAAAAGTATTCTGGCTTATGATGTTTTTCAGGGGGAAAAAATAAAAGAATACATTAAGCTATATTTTAGATAACTTTCAGTGTTCTTCAATGACCTAGATGGGTCAAAACATAGTTAGGCAAGTGAAATTTAAAATCTGAAGGTTTTTGTTTTCTTATACTCTATTACCACTGATTGGTTCAATTTAATGGCTTTTCTTACCAATATCCAACAGCATGGGCATTTTAGAAAACTAATTACAACATTTAGATTATTTTTTAGTTTGGAAAAGCCTGATATTGACAAAAAGTATGGAGTTCACCTTTAAGGCACATGAGGCTATATAGAGTGAGCCACAAATAAAAATCTCTGCTAGAGAATCTGGAAACAAGGCTTCTATATTTGTCATGTAGTAACTAATATTTTAAGCATAAATTATTAACATATTTGATAAATTTCACAATTTCTAAAGCTTATCAGAATCTGGATACCTACATAGTATAGGTTCTTTGAATTTTGCCTTTATGAGAGGATTTAGCACTTTTAAAAACTCCATAAAATGAGATGTCCACCCAATCTATAAAGTCAAAATTACAAGTCAGTTTCTAGGATTAATTCAGTAATACTAATTAATATTAAGGACTGAGGAAATGGAAAAAACAGCCACAACTTAACAAAAAATGAGACAAGTCTCATGGGGAAAAATGTGTCATTTAATTCTAAGTTTTTGTTGGAAAACAATGAACTGGCCCTTTATACTCCACTATGCTTCAAACTACACCACCTTACTTTAATTCCATTGTAAATCTAAAAAAGACATGGCATTTTGTTTAACTTGGGGTTCATACTTTAAAAAGCTGTGGTGGGGACTGACAACTTCTATATTTCTTTTTCTTCTTTTTATTGAAATATAATTGACATACATACAAGATCTTTAATAAAATGTTTCTGGAAAAATCTGAGAGGACTTTATCATGTTCTCTGTTAACAAGGCTTAGTTGGGGCTTATATTTAAAAAGAAAAAAAAAAAAAACAGAGTTGGGTTTGTTTTAAATTGAACTCAGAGATATAACAGATTGAATAAGTTATTATTTATTCCAAGAAAGAAATAATTCAAATTTAAATTATCTACACGAGGCATTAGAACAAGGGTATAGCACATTAACAAAGACAACAGAACTTTTTGTCTTTTTCTGCTGGGTTTTTTTGAAGGGGAATGGAAAAAAACATTATAATCTCCCTCTTCAGTCATACGCAAACCCAAGTTGTGTTACTTTTTTCTTTTAATCAAAGGAAGTATTTCAATCTCCTCCAAACCCACTTTATGAGCTATCTCTAATTTATAGTACCATAAAGACAGTTCACCCAGATTTACACAAAATTTCATGGTGCACTTTACTATAAACTCTCAAACCTTTATATACTTTTAAAATTGGCTTTGTGGTGCTTTGGTAAACTTGTTTAATAGTGACCTAAGTTAAATCTGAGGTAATAAGACTATGTGATTGTTGGGAGAGTAGAGAAATTAGCTTTATTACATCACAACCCTGTTTAGGATTTTCTCTTACTGGTCACTGTCAAGTAAACTGTTTCAAAGTGTTTAACAGATAAATTCTGCTCTGTGGTCTCCAAAAGGGGCCTGTTTTCTTGAATAGCAGATAAAGAGAACAATCATTCGCTAGAATCTGCTTTTGCTAAGAGCAGACAGAAAATTCAGCTGTATTTGCTCTTCTCTCCATTTACTCTCCCTATACTTGAAAGGGAAAACATGAGTTTTACCTTTCCACCTTCCTCAGAGAATTCTGGGGTCTATCCCCAAGCTCTCTTTGGGCTCTCTAAGCTGGTTAGGAGCACCAAAGAGGGGTAAGAGGAAAGTCAGAAAAACTATTCCACCTGATAACCATATATGCATATATACTTTTATTTTTTATTTTAGTAACATTTTAAAGTATAATGGTCTTCAAAATGTTATAGACCTCAGCAAAGCTGCAATATATCAATTTTTATCCTCAGTTTCAATTCTTTAATCTTCAAGGAACCAAAATGAAATCAAATTTTCAAAACACATGACTATAAGCAAAAGGTTATGCCTTTAGATTAAGAATTTTAAATTAATAATTTAAGTCATTAATCTTTATCTTAACAAGTTACTTGCTATAATTAGAAAGTTAAAAAAAAGTAGAAATTCCCATCAACTTCTGACTCCAGTTTTAAAAATACTGACTGCAACTCCTATAGTATCATGATTACCTTCCAAAAGTTATCTACAATAAAATAAAAACTATGAAAATCAGAAAGCAGCTTGATTGTCAGTAGTATCAGTTTCCACCTTCGTTAGCCCATGTGAATGATTAAAGATGTGTGGTAGAAGAAAAGGAGTCACACTACTTTGAATGTTCATAACAAACTCTCCATGAAAGCATTTAAAGAAACTCCATGATTTCACATTTAAAATTAGTTCTACTTTAACCACCAACAACCTAAGTTTCTTTTCTAATATATCACTGCTTTATGTATTTCTAAAGTTTTATAGGTAAGGTTAGCAGAACTGTAAGGGTTTCCTTTAGTTAATTTTGAACATTAACCTGTTCACATGCCAGATGCTGTTATACCAAATATTTTAAAATTAGAGCTGTGCTGGAAAAAAAAAAAAAAAAAAAAAGACCTCCAAAAAGAACTTGAGATATTTTCTGCCTTTAAGACAGTTTCACAGCCTTAAACTTCAGAAAGCACTTAAAAAGTAGAATGAGTTGTTTTAATTGCTTTCTCATTTGAATATTAATCAACATAGCATCGAGTCTAAAATTCAGCTCTTAGTAACACTATTTCCTCAGTAGTCATCACTTACAGAAAGGATTCTAAATGTACATAAAGTGAAAAACAAAACCAAACCTAACAGGAAAGATAGTAGGGCCTGTTTTTACACTTCTGAGTTAATAATTAATGAAAACAGATAGAACTAAACCTATTGAAGGCACTATTGTAAACAGCAGTCCACACTCCATCCCCACAACCTCAAAAAAAAGACTTCCACTAGAAACTGAGAATTACGCTGTGGCCCTTTGGAAAAAGTAAACTAAGAAATCATAACATTAAGGAAACTGAATTATGATCTCTACACATGTACATATACTGACATAATAAACTACTTGTCAGCAGTACCTTGAAATCTTCTAAACTTTAAAGTTACTATTTGAAAAAACCTACTTAACCACCCTAAAGTTTAAATAGTCAAAAGATTTACTGAATCAGTGGTTCTTAAAACTAGCGTGCACGACAGAAGAACCTGGCGTTTGTTACAGCACAATGCTGGGACTCTCCCCTGGGGTTTCTGATTCACTAGGTCTGGGGTGGGGCCCGGTCGTAAGCATTTCTAACACCTTCTCAAGTGATGCTGAAGATGATGGTCCAGGGACCACCTGCTGAGAACCACTGGCCTAAATTATTAATGGTACATCAGCACAGCCCTAACCAAAAGTTTGGTCAAGATGCATGTAAACGAGTAAGAATAGAATGCTTTAATGCTTAGAAAGAATGCTGATAACTTCACCCTTATTACATCAAAACATCTACATCTGCTTCGTGGTCTTCCTCGGTTACTTTCAAGGACAGCACTTCTTCGTTAAGGAAGAGCCCACTGAGCCGCTCCTTCCGAGCCTGCCTCTGTTCTTTCAGCTGCCTCTTGCGTAAGGCCTTCTGCTGCAACTTCCGCTGTTTGGATCGCTTCTGTCAAAATAAAATTTTCTAAATCAGTAAGGTTTAGTTCAGGCATGTCCACCCCAAAGTATTTTATAGACCAAGTTCTGTATTTTCAGAATTTTTAGAGGTGTTCAAATTCCTCTGCAGTATGATCCTGCTTCCAGTAAGTGAGCCTCTGGCTTAGACTTGAAAATTATTCTTCAAGAGTCTATTTTTATGGTATTTGAACAGTGAATCTTCTGATAAGGGAAGGTTGAAACTTGATCATTTTAACTAGTTATGGATAACTAATCGTTTCAAAGATTTAGAAATCAAATTAAGGTACATTGGTGTCAGTGCAGAGTGAACACATAGTAAACAATACTGAACACAAATGTAGAGAACATCTCCAAAATCTCTAATGTGCCTTTCATTCAAAAGCACTAGCAGTTTTACCATGACTGGAAAAAAAAAAAATAATGTATTTTCCATATTAGGCAAATACTTTCTTAAAAGCCCGTTAGAAATGCAGTGGGCACTCTATTCCTTGTCACTGGTGAACCGTTGCTAAAAAAGAATGACCACAGATCCAGAGGAATCCCTTGGCAACCAACAAAGCTGGCTACATTTCTGTTACTTCGGTAAAAGCCAGAGAAGAAATCATTGTGTATCGTCTAGTCACCACTGGGCTCCCAAAGAGTTATAAAGATACCCCTATCTTCCTTAAGTTCACTCCAGACCACTGCTGCAAGAGCTGAACTCCCCTGCTAAGCGTCACAGAACCATACATATACTTACACTCCTATTTTTATATGCTCAGTATTATAGACTTTTTTTCTTTTTCTTTTTTAATATATCTTTATTGATTTCAGACAGAGGAAAGGAGAGGGAGAGAGAGAAACATCAATAATGAGTCATTGATCGGCTGCCTCCTGCACGCCCCCGACTGGGGATCTAGCCCACAACCCGGGCCTGTGCCCTGACCAGGAATCGAACCCCGATCGCCTGGATCCTAGGTCGATGCTCAACCACTGAGCCATGCCCAGCCAGGCCAGACTTTTTTCATTTGTGAAAACAGTAGACAGAAATTAGAGAAAGCATTATTACATTTTTATAAAAGGGTTAAGAAGAAACATTTAAGACTAAAACATTAACAAAACATTTAACATACACAAAAAACAGACAGAACTTTCTTAGGAGTTAATAGACAGCAACATCAGCAATATAGTGAGATGCGCTCAGCAAGTGAGTTAACAGTCACTATTGCAATCCTGAGACTCACTCATTGTTTCCATCAATTTATCTTACTTAAAACAGACACAAAAATCAGATAAAATTGAATGATATCGCAGCAGGTCACAACAGTATTTCAAAGCACTCAGCCTAGAAGGTTTTGTTCAATTGTTCAATTGAACCACCTGCTTGCCAACCCTACCCCCTTATGCAGTCACCACAGATTTAGGGAAGATTACCAATAGAATGCCTTGGTATGATTATTTGGTACAGTGGTGCCTCGGTTTTCAAATATTTCCGTTGATGAACATTTCGGTTTAGAACGCTGTAAACCCCGAAGGAAATGCTTCAGTTTTCGAACAGGCCTTGGAAGTGGAACACGCCACACGGCTCCCGCTGAGAGCAAGATCCTGAGGCCCAGCTGTTGGCTGCTGATTCTTCAGTTTTCGAAAGTTTCAGAACTCGAACGGTCTTCTGGAATGGATTACATTCGAAAACCGAGGTACCACTGTATAACCAAATATCGTACAAAAAACAGATCTGCATATACATAATAAATAAAAGAATGTAAGACAAAAAATTAAAACCAAAGTCCCTGGGCATCTAAATAGCAGGATAAGTTTAACTCTTCAAAAAATTCATATGAGGGGGTATTAGTGTTAATATTGAAAGGTAACGTTTTGTATTAAATGTTTTACTTTTGAATCCCGAATCCGCTCTGCTGCACTTGCAGACAAGTTGCTGTCGCTGTGTGCTCGACTCATGTTGGCGCTGGAGTTTGAAGCAGAGTTTCCAACACTGGACCCACTGCTGCTTGCAGAACTGACCATGCTGGCACTGCTGCTGCTGGCACTGGCACCGCTCACTCCACTGGTGCTTGCACAACTAAAGTTGCTTCTCTTCCAGGCCTCTCTTACAGGCCGTTGGCGAGGGCTATGCTCCTTGATATAGTTTCTGACCTTGGAACACGCAGATAAAAACTGGTTAGTATTGTTACTTGAGGTTCTACCCTCAAAATACCGGAGAAAAGAAGAATGGTGTACTTAAGTTAAAGGACTGTCAAAAGTGTTACAGATATACATAGGTAGAATATAAGGACAAAAAGAAATCTCTTGACAATGTTCAAAATTCTAGAATACATATAATGGAGTCAGATTTTAAAAGCACACAAAATATAATCAGTAAATGAAAGGCTACTGGCCTCCAGAATTTAGGATTATAGGATAATAAGAGTCAGAGAGAGAAACTAACAATAAAATAATATAGATGAGATTTTTAAAAGGTCTCCACTAAAGATGATTTATGTAAAATGCTAATTATATCTAACATTAGGGTATCTCATAAAGCTTAGCTAGGGGCCTATGGTACCTGCCTTCAAATGCAAGGCATCTATTTACCATACTATTGAAAAATGGGCTGGAATATAGAAAATTATCGTAAGTCTGTTGAGAGATATACTGAAAAGAGAAAAATATTTCATAAATGATAAATGCAAAAAATTTAAAAAGTAGAACGTTTTAGCTATGTACCAGCGAAAAAGAGAGCACTAAAAACTGTATTTAGAAGATAACAGAAATGTGTATTTCAAAATAGCAGAAGGAAAAATTAATTACATTTTATCCTAGCCAGACTCAATTACTCCGTAAGACTACTCAAATCCTTCAAGTTCAGATGTTCATTCAAGCATACCTCTCAATCAGTATTTTCATTCTGTCGATCAATCTTTTCTAAGCTGAGTTAGAATAAATCTATATTTTAGTGTAACCACCCCTCATGTAGTGAAATTAAGTTTCAAAGCCTATACAACTAAAAAGCAGGTTCTAGACCCACATGATCCTGCCAAGTGAGATGTACATAAAACCTCTTAAAACCACGTGTTCTCACCTTGGCCAGTTTGGCTCAGTTGGTTGGGCATTGTCCCGTGTACCAAAAGGCTGCTGGTCGGGACACATGAGCCAGTTGTGGACTTGATCCCTGGTAGGGGGCGTGCAGGAGGCAGTTGATCAATGTTTTGCTCTTACACAGATATTTCTCTCTCTCTCCCTCCCTTCCTCTCTCTCTAAAAAATCAATAAAAAAAAAATCTTTATTTAAAAAAGGTGTTCTCAAATATTACCATCATTTTTCTAATATTACATGTCACAGCAGTGATTTTTTACCTTAATTATGTATGTATTTACATATGATTATTCAGTATACATGTTATAAAACAATGGTATTTTTAATAGCTGAACAATCTGTATTTTCTATACATACCTGCTTCAGTTTTTCATCTGTGAGACAGTTAAGTTCAATAATAAACTCACTGTCTGTAGGAGAGATTTGAGCAGAAGGATCAATTATTTTAATAATATCAAGTTGCTCCCGAAGACCCATCTCAGTACTGACTTTACGACTCAGGTACTCAATATATTCCACCTATGTGATGAAAAATTATAATAAGCAAGATCAATGCCAAAACCTGATTGTTTAGTGTGTCATTTATAATGTGTTTTAAATACCAAAGCACTTAATATTATATTTGTTCCTTATAAAGCAATTAGTTATAGCTCAAATTCAGATTCACTAAGCAATCCATATTTACCCTGTGACCTTAAACAGGCAATAAGTTGAGCTTCACATATTCTCCACTTATATGCTTTTAATTAAGAATGCCAAGATCTCTACCTGTTCATCATTTGTCATTGCACTCCAAGGAAGCTCATCTAAATTCCGATGCTTGTTTTTCTTTTTAGGAAGCAGGCAAGGTGAACTTGGAATACTGGGTATGACATCAGAAAGCACATCACTCCCACTGGCAATGTCACTGCCTGGTAACTTTATAAAAATAAGGAGAAGGGGGTAGGGAAAGAAAAATATTTTAAAAAATACATTTAAAATACCACAACATATTTTGTATTTATTAAAAATTACTTTAATCAAAGACTAATGATAAATACAGAATCAGAAGACATTAATTCTGATTCATTCCTATTTTAGGCAGTACAGCAGCATCAATATACTCTGTATATAGTCAGTCACTTATTCAATAAGAGATATTTTCCAAAAGCTTAAAATCAAGACCTGTTAAAGTGCGAACTTAAGAGTCAATCATCATCAAGTTTTTTAATTCATAATGTGAATGCAGGCTAGGGCCCTTTTTCATAATGAAAAAGGAGCTCTGGTCTCCATCTCAGGAGACCTGAGTGATCTGCTGTTACCTGGCTCTTTGCCAGATACTGTGCTAGACATAGTGCCAACCTAAAGACAAATAAATCATGGTCTTTGTTCTCAAGTCTGTACTAACAACCTCGAGATAATGAAAATAATTTAAAATATGCCCTTAATATAAAGCAAAGCACTTTAAAGACCAGAAGGATTATAAAAGAAAACTTAGGGAAAAAAGGTAAGAGACAACGTGTAGGCAAAGGAGAAATGCAAGCAAGCCTAATATGCAGAAAATCAAATGTTTAAAGTGAGGTGAACAGCAAAAATATGTGCTACAATTTTGTATTGCCTATCAAAAGCCAGTTAGAATGAATTTTTAACAGCTTTATTGATTTATAACTAATATACAAAGAACTATAACATATTTAATGTACACAATTTGATGAGTTTGGACATATGCATTTACGCTGAAACCATCACCACAATCAAGGTAATAAACATTTATCACCTCCAAAACTCAGACAGGGTTTAAGTTTAAATAAATGTGTTTAAGTCATTCATCAAAAAGATAAAATCTTTTCTTCTGCAAGGACTACGTAACAATTTTTAAGACAATGCTTTTGTTTTTACAAGATACAAAACAGGACCTTTTAGTTGTTGTTTGGTTCCATAGACTTTGCAATTATATCTGAACTCTGGATGAATATCGACCAGGCTTTTGAAGTTACCAAAAGAGAAAAGCTACTTTTGCCATGAAATTACTGTAATCACATGTATTTGGCTTCCTATTGTACCCACAGCACTATAATAGGTACAGGGGATTCAAAGCAGTGTAAGTCATGATCCTCACACAAGAACTTTATACTCGAGAACATAATACGACATAAACATACAATTATACAACATAGCAAACTATGAATGTTAGGTTTGAGATGACAGGTCACCAATGGAAAGATCTAGCAGCAAGTTGAAGCTGCAGGATTAAAGCTTAGGAGAGCTACACAGGACCAAGCATTGGGGAGTCAATCGCATAAGAAGAGGGGAATGAAGCCACAAAAATAGGGTCGATCACCATGCAAGGTGACCTCAATGTTTAGAAGGAAACTGTCTAAGTTAGCTACTGCTCTTAAAAATCACATTTTCATTTTGACAGTCACTGATGAGTCCAAGTGCTTCAGTAACTTCCAACAATCTGTATGACTTCCTTTAAAATCTCATTAACAACAGTGTTTGAATTGCTCACTCTTAGCCCCGATGTTATCTATTCACTGTCATGAAAGGATGATTACTGAACATACAAATAAAGGCCATCTCTTTTTCAGCCTTTAATGTCAAAAGAGAAAATGTTTTACTATTTTCCCTTTGAAAGACTTCATTAAAGATCTCCCTAGGGTTCCTAAAAGAAAATGAGACACTCATCAGATGAAAGGCCTACCCTACTTCGAGCTCCTTTGATAAATTAGGTAGAGAAAGAAACTCTCAAAATATCTATACTCTCAAAATTTAAGAAAAATGCCCATCTAAATTTTTAGCAAATAAATGCTAGGTGCCAGATTAGATTGAGCACTTTAAATCTGTGTCTTTAACTCTGTCTATGTGTTTGTTGGGGGTGTTTGTAAAAAAGGCAACTAATGACCCTTTGGTCAGTTTTTTTAAGGAGAAGGAAAAAGATGCCAAACAGAATTCAAATCCCAGCTCCATGATCTTGTGGCAGTTAGTTCACTTCTCTGAGCCTCAGAACCCTCCGTATAAGTTATGGTTAATGACATCCACCTCAAGGATTGTTGAAAGGTTTAAATTAAATTAGGTAACATGCCTGGCACATAGGTGACACTTAATAAAGTGGCATATTTTGCGTTTTCCATCTCTTGCCATGGTTTTGGACCCTTAAAAAAGGTGGCACAAACCCTCAGAGAATGCCATATGCTACCAAAGTGGCTGGGTTAAGTTTCACAAGGTAGTCAGTCTCTCAGGACGGCAGAAGCGGGTTAAAGGAAAAGGCATTCAGGAAAGGAGAATAATTTAGTAAAAAAGATGGAAAAAACATAGGATGAGGTTAAGGACACCAATACGATTAAAACAGAAAATCGTGCTAGGGATTTGAAAGCTACCAGAAGAAACAGAAATTTATATGCTATGTGGAAGTAAGCCAATAACACTTCCTAAGTAGAAGTAACCTGATGAAACTGGTCTTGGGGGAAGATGAGCTGAAAAGCAGTGTGGGGACAAAACAGAATGAGGAAAGACTGGAAATAGGAAGCTCTTGTTTGATCTAGGCTTGGACCAAGATAAGCAAAAATGGAAAGAAAAATGAGAACAGAGAAAACTTCAAATGAAAAACAATTTACAAGGCTGTTTATAACTGAATGGATAAGAGTAATAGCCAGATGACCAACGTGAGACCATTAGAAAACTAGCAGCATTTCAGTCATATAACCCATCCAGGGTGATGCACTCAAACACCTCAGTTATTAGAGCAAGACACCTGAAGCAATGTTATAGATCTTCTAGTCTAACACCCTCATTTTACAAATAAGGAAAAGTGATGTCCAAAGTAGGACACAAGTCCAGTGCTTTCAACTATGCAAGGATGTCTTGCCTTGCAGGTTTTTGGGATGAGAGTAGGATGCAATTTGGGATATGGAGTTTGCAGTGATTACGAGAGAAGCAAGTACAAGTGTCCTTTGAAATGATAATAGTCATTTTTCACTACACTCTAAGACAGGTCACAAAGCAGAATTTATTTTTTTCCCACAGAAGCACTACAATTGAAAGTTTCATTACTGATCAAGGACTCAGCATCATATATTAGGTTAGCATTAAATAATAAGGTCATCCAAGTAGAAATGTGAAGTAATCAACTGGAGATATGGGATGAGAGCAGCAGATGTACATGACAATTAATTATATGGGCTCCTGTATATTTATTAGACCAGCAATTTTCCATTTTATACCTGATAATACGTTTCAAGATAAAAGTGCTTAGTAATTCTCACTGCATATTTTCCATAGACAAGGGTATCTGCTATATTTATATTATAATCAGTAATTGTGACACATAGGGTGAATTAAATCAAACCTCTGACATTATTTACTGCAGTATGCAGCAAAATTTTATAAGTAAGCTCATTTCTGTAACAGCTGACATGTAATTTCAGATTGCACCGCTAGGTTTCAAGTGTGACAGTTGAATTACTCTTTAAATTTTCTATACTTTCCTGCTCAACAATAAAATAATTTCTCATGCTCTAAGACTAGTCACATATATCTTTAATAATGAAAGGACTGCAAGAAAAGAAAATGATGAGCAAAGCTTAATGCTTTGAGGCTATTTCAAATGCTAAGATGCTACTTCATTCTAAGGTTAAAATCATGCCTTATTAAGTAGTTAGTATTATCTTTCCAGAATCTATGAATCATTTATATTTACTTTAGTAACTGAAACATCTGTTTAAAAGAAAGATTTAAACAGATGCAGTTTTTAATCACAACAGAGGTAACACGAATTTTTAAACTACAGTCAACAATTTTTAGTCTATATTAATCCTAACACACCATTTATAATTATCTTCCTGGATAATTTACTGCTCATCATTATAAGGTCCTACAAAAACAAGAGAGCATTTTAAACCTTTCAGCATATTTAAATAGAAAATATCCATGGCAACAGAGTACCCACACTCCAATTTCATAAGTGGAAAAACACATTACTAAGGCAGGCCTGATTTTTGTTCCAGCGTTCTAGTCAGTCATGCACATTAACAGTGAGTGATTGAGGACAGCTCCCCACTCTAACTCCTCATGAAATGAGTGAAGAAGTCAGCAATTTAAAAATGCTTGCCAGTGCCACTTTGCAACATTATACGAACTCTAAATAAGTCACATGAAATAAGCAGAAAATTGTTTCTCTGAATTATCAGGACTCCATCCAATTACACTTCATTAAGAATCCTTGTAGTCTGATTTTAAACACAAAGTGTGAGCTTAAAAAAATGAGGCACTGAAAAAGGTACCCACACAAAGATGCTCATTTCTGTCTTACCTTAAGAGAAAAAAAATTAAACACACGTACACAGGGAAATGACACATCTAGTACCAGGAACATTATGTAGTCATTTAAAAAGTCATTATGAAGATCATGAAAAAGTTTATATGTTAAATGAGAAAATCTTATTACAATATTTTATGCTGAAGAAAAGGGAACACTTCCTAACTCAGTTTACAAGGCCAAAGCCATAACAAGAAAATTAGAGACCAATATCCCTTATGAATACAGATGGAAAAATCCTCAACAAAACACTAGCAAACAAAACCCAGCAGCATATTAAAAGGTTTAGAATACCATGACCAATTAGGATTAATTCCAGGAATGCAAGGAAGAGTCAACATACAAAAATCACTCAATGTTGTATATCATATTAATACAATGAAGGAGAGAAACTGCATGATCATTTCAACAGATGCAAAAAAAAAGCATTTGACAAAAATCTAATACCCTTTCAGATAAAAACACTGAACAAACTGCAACAAAATGGAAATCCCTCAATAGGTTATAGGGCATTTATGAAAAATCTACAGCTAGTATTTATTATACTCAATGGTGAAAATATGACTGAAAGCTCTTCCGCTAAGACTGAAAAAAAGAAAACGATGCCAGCTTTTGCCACTTT